CTCCTTGTCCATCTATTTCTCCTCTTGCTCCTACTCGTTGTCCTTTGCTTTCTACTTTACTTGTCCAGTCCAGGACAAGTGAGATCTACTGGTTTGCGTGTGTGGAAGCAGCTCAAACAAAGAAGAGTCTGGTCCGGTCTAAATTCAGGCACGGCCTGCCCGTCGGCTACTAGGTCTGGGAATGGCGCCAGGCGAGAGCGCCACTATGCCTAGCTGCGGCCGGCCCCCGGACTATGCAAAATAATCGAGGTCGGGGGGTCTCGTCTATAGTGGTTCCCCCTGCCTTTGATGATTGACCAAACAAATAGGCCTAGATCTATGCAAGCAAAGGAATGATAAATTGAAAATATCTGATGAAAATTTTGGTGTTATATATTGGTGAAACTTATAATGATATCTCATGAATTTCAATTGATATCGAGGTAGTAAAAGGTAGGTTGTTACTTGTCTATTTTATGCTATACATCGATAAAAACTTTTAGTGGCATCACACCCCACTCAGAGGAAATAGACACTGTATCTGCCAAAAGCTTATCATCCTTTATCACTTCAACAGCATTGACACAGTCTGCAGAAGGCCATAAAGGATGTCAGTAACTCTACTGCTATAAGTTAGACATTGGACTTGTCATGAAGTTGTTGTAGAGTTATACATTGGACTTGTCATGGAGTTGTGGTCTTTTTCATTTTTGCTTTTCTTGTTTCCTTGAATTTATCAACTGCAATACGAAATCCCACATGGAAATGTTTGGGGTAGGAATTAGGATGTCATTTGTGCTTGCATTGTAGTGTTGGCACTATGTGGGGTTAGAGACCTGCTTACTTGAGAATACAAAACACTTACAGAATCTGCAAATAGAGATCATGGCATTTTAAAGGCATACATAACCTACTGACGACCGGCTTGATTAATTTAATACACTGATTTGTTGATATTGACATGATTAATTTGTAAACTTGTCATGATGATGGCCAGTTAAAACCCTTTTGGTGATCGATAACTTTTTTTTTTTCAAAATGCCAACATTAAAACTAAAAGTAAGTATTACAGCTTTTATTGTCAAATGAAATATGATTTTTATTTATGAAGATTTTTAACTGGTTCATTTTGCGATCATGTAAATAAAACGTGGCCAATCGTATAGGGAGGTTGAGTTTGCTAAGTCCATAATGATTCGTGCTAGTTATAGGCTTCCAGATTTACCACCCTAGTATCATCATATCTGATCCCAATGTCCTAGCTTCGTGTTATGCTGGTTCAGGTTTGGACGCAGTGTTAAGACTTACCACCTAAAGGGAGAAGGGACGTTGTTCGAGGAATGGCTTTCCATGATTACATAATTTCTCCCGTGTCAAAAATTTTCAGTCGCTAGATTATTATACGAACAAAAATTTGCGCAATAACTGAAATGTATTGAGGTGCGTCCCTAGTTTTCAAATATCATCTAGTCCACGAGCTACAAAACCAACTTGAGGTTAGAGGGAACTTTGGGTCTTCAACCATCTTTATGGAGAAAATGAAGAGCTACTTTATCGTTGAGAGGCCATGCTTGGGATACATAGATTGACCACTAAACGGTGGTCCCTAGGTGAGATGGACACCACTTCCTCCTCCTACTCCTTTTTCTTAAACTATTTCTTATTATTCATCTCCTTCATCTTCTTATTCCTATCATTCTCTTTTTTCCTCCTCTCCACTAATGTGTGTCCATCGTAAAAGAGTACTTTGTAATATTGACTTAGTGTTATTCTTCTTCTTCTTCTTTTACTTCTTCATTCTCCTCACTCATTCTTCCTCCCTTTCCTTCTCTTTCTCCTCCCACGCTCCTTCCTCTTCTATCTCTCTTTCTTTTGCATCTCTTCCTACTCCTTTTACTTCTTTTTCTTCTCTTATTCTCCTCCATTTTTCTCCTCTTTCTCCTCTTTCTCCTCTTTATTTTCCTTCTCATTGTCCTCCTCTTCATCATCATTCTCTTTCTCATCTATCCTTCTTCCTCCTCCTCATCCTCCTCCTTTTCTTTCCCTTCTCCTCCCTCCTTCCTCCTTTTCCTCCTTTTCTTTCTATTCTCTTCTCCTCCCTCTTCCTTCCTCTTTTTTCTTTTATTCTTTCTTCTTATTCCTCTCCTTCGCCTTCATCTTCTTCTTCTACTCCTCATTCTTCCTATTCCTATCATTTTCATTCTTCTTTCTTTCCACCAATGTATGCCCCTCGTAATTCACTGATGTTCCTCAAAGTCGCCATAAATTTTTGGTAAAATTACATATTGCCTCCAGAATGATTAATTTTTTCACATTGTCCCCTTAAAAAAATAAAAATGTTGCAATGTTATCAACCATCTTATTTCCTTCTTGTTCTCATCTCATGCTCCTCCCTCTTTCCTTCTCTTCTATTTCCTGCTCATTTTCTTTCCCTCCTCTTCCTCCTTTTTCTCATTGTCCTCTTCCTTATCAGCATTTTCTTGCTCCTCCATCCTTCTTCCTCTCCCATTTCTTCTTCTTCATTCTCCTCCTCTTTCTCACTCGTTCTTTCTCCCAATTTTCCTCCCTTTCCTTCTTTTTCTCCTCTGATGCTCCTTCTTCATCTTCTATTTCTCCTTTTTTGTATTTCTTCTTACTTCTTTTTCTTCTCTTGTTCTTTTTCTTTTTCTCTTCCTCCTTCTCCTTCATTCCTCTTCTCTTTCTCCTCCCTCTTTGCTTTCTCCTTATTTTCCTTGTCCTCCTCTTCCTCCTCATCATTCTTTTTCTCCTCTATCCTTCTTCCTCTCTCTTTACTTCCTTCTCCTTTTTCCTTTTTTCCCTTCTCTTCCCTCCTTCCTTTTTTTCATCTACTTTTTCTTGTTATTCCTCTTCTTCTTCTACTCCTATTTCTTCCTATTCCTATCATTCTCCTCTTTTTTCTTCTACTCTTTCTTATTATTTGGGTTATTTCCTGCTCTTCCTCCTTCATTTCCTTAATTCTGTTTCTTCTCCTTATTTTCCTCCTCTTTCATTCATCTCTTTTCTCTTTTCCTCTTCCTCCTTCTCTTTCTCCTCTATCCTTCTTCTTCTCTCATTTCCTCCTTCCTCCTTCTTCTTCCTCCTATTCCTTTTTCTTAAACTCTTTCTTATTATTCCTCTCATTCGTCTTCTTTTTCTATTCCATTTTTTTCTTATTCCTATCATTCTTTTTTTTTCCTCTCCACCAATGTATGCCCATCGTAGAAGATTACTTTGTATTATTGACTTAGTGCTAGTGCTATTTTTCTTCTTCTTCTTTTACTCCTTCATTCTCCTCCTCCTCTTTTTTCTCCTCATTCTTTCTTCCTCCCAATTTTCCTCCTTTTCCTTCTCTTTCTCCTCCCATGCGAAGCTCTTCTATTTCTCCTTCTTCTGCTTTTCTTCTTACTTCTTTTTCTTCTCCTCTTTCTCCTCCCTCATTTCCTTCTCTTATCATTCTTCTTCTTATTCCTTTCCACCAATGTATGCCCATCACAATAGAGAGTATTTTGTAATATTGACTTAGTTTTATTCATCTTCTTCACTCTTCCTCCTTTATTCTTCTCTTCCTTATTCTTTTTCTTCTTCACTTTCCTTGTGTTCTCTCTCCTCCTTTTTCTTCCCCTTTTCTTTCCCCGATTCTGTTCTTGAAAGCCACCATAAATTTTGGAGAAAACTCTATTTTGCCCCCTAAAACATACAAAAAATCTCTGTGCCTCCCAAATGATTAATTTTTCCACATTGTCCCCTTAAAAAAATTAAAATATAACAATGTGATCCATCGTCTGTTTTGTTTAATTTAAAAAAATTAATCATTTTTAAAAATTAAAAATGATTTTTTTTTCCATTTGGTTGTCCGTCTGTTTTGTAATTCCTGATTGGTTGATTTGGTACAAAACAGATGGACGATCAAATGGAAATAAGATTGTGGATAATATTGCAACGTATTTATTTCTTTCAGGGAGCAATATGGGAAAATTAATTATTCTAGGGGCAGAATGGTATTGACCCTAATTTGATCTTTCAAGTAACTTCTCTTGTCCACTTCTTTTCCCTCTCCTTCCTTTTTCCCCTTTTGCTTCTCAAATTCTGTTTTAGTTTCTATTTCTCACAATTTACCAATGTTCCTCAGAGTTGCCATAAATTTTAATCTTTCAAGCGACTACTCTTCTTCTCCTTCTTCCCCTTTCCATTCTCTTACTCTTCCTTATCCTTATCTTCCTATTTATCCTTCTTTTTCTCCTCCCTTATTCTTCCTCTCATTTTCCTCCTCCCAATTTTCCTCCTCATTTTCTTTCCTTTCTCCTCCAACACCTCCTTCTCATTTTCCTTTTTCTGTTTGTTTTTCCTCCCAACTTAGGGGTGTTCATGGGCCAGGTTACTCACAGGTCCCATTACCCCGCCCAAAAAAATAGGTCTAAAATCTGATAGGCCTGATAGTTGGTCCTTCCGAACCCAATATCCTTAAAAAGAGGGCTTGGTTTTGCCCCCAAACCCATTACCTGGCCCAAGAACCCACCCGCCTACCATTCCTTGGAAAAAAAAATTATACTTTCAAATAAGTCTCCCAAGGTCGGAATTTGAAATTTTAAAAATTTAGATGTTATAAATAATATATATATTTTTTTTTCATGTATTAAGCATATAAGTTTTAAAGGGTAGAGTAATACAAATGATAGATAAGTGAGTAAATGTCACCCTAGTTGAAATTTTCTTCCTTCCTTCCTCCTCCTCCTCCTCCTCCAACTCCTCCCTTCTTCTACGTCAATTTCGAGCAACATTTAAGCATAGAGGAGACAACTTCTTCTTCTTCCTTCTCCTCCTCCCCGTCCTTCTTCACCTCCTCCTTCACCTTCTCCTTTTCCTTCTCATTGTTCCCCTTATTCTTCTCCTTCTGATTTTCCTACTCCTCTTTCCCTTCTCCTCCCTCCTCCCTCCTCATTCTTCTTCTTCTTCCTCCTCCTTCAACTTCATCAATTTCCTCTTTTTTCCTCCCGATTTTCCTCCTTTTTCCACTTTCCTACTCCTTTTTCTTCTTCTTCTTCCTTTTCCTCCTCCTCTTCCTCTTTCTCCTCCCACCATCTTCCTCTTGTTTTTCCTATTTCCTCCTTCTCTTTCTCCTCTTCTTCCTCCTCTTCTATTTCTCCTTCTTCCCCTTCTTCCCTTACTTTTCCTCTTCCTTCTCCTACTCCTCATTTCTCTTCTCCTCCTCCTCCCCCTCCCCTCTTATCCTCCTCATTTTTCTCCTTATTTTCTTCGCCTCCTACGAAATGTTAGCTTTAAGGGGACTCCAAATTTATGGCCTTTCATAAAGCTCAACAACTTGAAGGGGCTATTACGTTACCTTCCGGTCAAGAGGCATCACCTTCGAGCAAATTGATGGGTCTTGATCTTTCGAGTGACTTCTCTCCTTCTCCTTCTTCACCTACTTCTCCTCTTACCCCTCTTCCTGCTTCTTCAATCTTCTCCTTGTCATTCTCTTTCTCGTCTCTCCTTTCTATCACTTTCCCGCCTTCCTCTTTTTTCCTGTCGATTTTCCTCTTTCTCCTTCTTCTCTTCCCTCATTCTTTTTCTTCCTCTTCTATTTCTCATTCTCCTTCATCTTTTTGCATATCTTCCACCTTGCCCTGTTTTTTTCCTCTTACTTCTCCTTCTCCATCCTTCTATGTCTTTTCATTTTCCTTTTCCTTTTCCTTCTTTCTCTTCTCCTCCTTACTCTTATCCTCCTATTTTTTCTCCTTCTTCTCATTGTCCTTACTCTTCTTCTCCTCCTCCTTACTCTTATCCTCCTATTTTTTCTCCTTCTTCTCATTGTCCTTATTCTCCTTCTCCTCCTAGGGAATCTTAGCTTAAAGGGGAGTTCAAATTTGTGGCCTTTCATAAAGTTGAGCAACTCGGAGATATTACGTTATATTCCTGTCTTAGAGCACTTTGGACTTACGAGTCTCCGTTGAATCGTCAAAGCAAGCCTATAAGTTCGTCTCAGACCCAAGAAATACGTAGTTCCTAATGTAATCTCTCTGTGCACCATTTTCCTTTTCTCCCTTTCTCTATAAGTATCTATGTGTATACACCCTATAAATTTATGGTTTATGGAATCATTGCTCTTTTTCTATGTGATTTTATTTTATTTTCTATTCCTCACAAGTCACCGATGTTTCTTAGAGTCGCCATAAATTTTGATCTTTCGAGTGACTTCTCTTCTATCCTTCTTCACCTGCCTCATGCTCCTCTTTCTCTTCCTTTTCCTTCTGTTTCTTCTCCTTCTCCTCTTTCTTAATCATTCTTCTCCTCCTTCTCTCTCCTTCATGTCAATTTTCCTCTTCCCTCTTTTTCCAGCCGATTTTCCTATTTCTTCTCCTCGTTCTCCTTTCCTTTTTGCTCTCCTGCTCCTTCTCCTCCCTCATTCTTCTTCTTCCACCTCCTTTTATATTTATCCTTTTCCTTCATCTTCTGCATCTCTTCCTCCTTGTACTTTTTCTTCTCCTTTTTCCCCTACTTTTCCTCTTGCTTCTCATTCTTCTCCTTTTCCTTTTCCTCCTCATATCTCTTTTTCTTCTTCTCCTCTTTCTTGTTCTCATTCTTCACTCTTATCCTCCTCCTTTTTTTCCTTATCATTCTCCTCTTTATTCTTCTTCTCTTACTGAGAAATCTTAGCTTCAAGGGAAATTCAAATTTAGGGCCTTTCATAAAGATCAGCAACCGGAAGGGTATCTACGTTATCTTCCAGTCAAAGGGTATCACCTCCAAACAAATTGATGGGTCTTAGAGCACTTAAAGCTTGTGAGTATTTGTTGAATCGTCAGAGCAAGCTTGTAAGTTTGTCACAAACCCAAGAAATGTGCAGCTCCTAATGTGATCTGCCATTGCACCATTTTCCCTTTCTCCCTTTCTCTATAAGTATATATGTGTATATATGTCTCTATACATATTATAAATTTATGGTTTTATGGAATCATTGTTATTTTTCTATGTGATTTTTGTTTTACTTTTCATTTCTCGCAAGTCACCGATGCTCCTTAGAGTTGCTATAAATTTTCATCTTTCGAGTAACTTCTCTTCTCTCCTTCACCTGCTTTTTCTCTTGTGTCTCCTCATTCTCCCTTTCCTTCCTTCTGTTTCTTCTCCTTCTCTTTTTGCTCCTTTTTCTTCTTCATCATCATTCTCCTCCACCTCAGCCTTCTCTTTCTTCTCTTTCGTTATATTTCCTCCATTCTTTTTCTTGCCGATTTTCCTCATTCTCCTTCTCCTTCTCTTTCTGTTCTCCATCTCTTTCTCCTCCATCATTCTTCTTCTTCTTTCTCTTCTATTTCTCCTTCTCCTTCATCTTTAGCATCTCTTCCTCTTCCTTCTTCCCTTGTTTTTCCTTTTGCTTCTCCTTCCTTCTGTTTCTTCTCATTCTCCTTCTCCTTTTCCTTCCTCCTGCTTATTTCTCTTCTTCTTTTTCACTCTTATCCTCCTCCTTTTTATCCTTCTCTTTCTCATTGTACTCCTTATTCTCCTCCTTCTCCTAGGGAATCTTAGCTTCAAAGGGAGTTCAAATTTGTAGCCTTTTATAAAGCTCAACAACTGAAAATAGATATTACGTTATCTTCTGGTAACGACATCACCTCTGAGCAAATTGACGGGTCTTAAGGGTATTTAGGGATTATGAGTCTCCATTCATCACAGACCCATGAAATACGTAGTTCCTAATGTGATTGCCCATTGTACAATTTTGCCTTTCTCCCTCTCTAAATCTCTCTCTATAAGTATATATGTATATATATATATATCCCTATACACACCGTAAATTTATGGTTTTATGGAGTCATTGCTGTTTTTTTATGTGATTCTATTTTACTTTCCATTCCTCTCAAGTCATCGATTTTCTTTGGAGTCACCATAAATTTTGATCTTTCGAGTGACTTCTCTTCTCTCCTCCTTCATTTGCTTCTCCTTCTCCTTTTTCTCATTCGCCCTCTACTTCCTTTTGTATCATTTCATTCTCCTCTTGTTCCTCCTCCTCTCTCCTTCCTGTCGCTTTTCCTCCCTTTTGTGCCAATTTTCCTGTTGTAGAATTTCATATCAATAGGAAATACTACAAATTTACGATCATCAAAAGGACACTCTTTACAAATAAATTTAAAGACATAAGCATATTGTATATTATCACGTACCTCAAAATCATCAATGACTTCAATAGATGTGAAATTCGAAGAATCATGAACAATATATTTAAATTTGGTAGCGATCTGAAGTAAAATCATCACCCAATTTTTTACTCTAAAATCTCATAAATTTTTCTTTCTATATATTTTTTTATTCTTCCTCTCTCCTTTTTTCCTCCTTTCTTGTCTACAGTTTGCCTGACAGCACCATGGCTGTTTATAGCCAAACTTCCACCCAACCTCACATGGTGAGGCTATGAAGCTTGCATCATTATGGATAAATATTTATTCTTTGTCCATGCATTTTATTTCTCAATTATAATTTTTATTGAGGTAATTAGAGCTCTGGCTCTATATTTGGTGATATATATTGTGGTCGATTTAATCAATTAATGTATCCGGTAACCGGGGTGTTACATTTTTTTCTTCTCCCGAGAAATCTTTGCTTCAAGGGTGTGGCCTTTCATGAAGCTTAGCAGCTGGTAAGGGATATCACGTTATCTTCTAGTCAAGAACCGTCACCTCCGAGCAAATTGACGGGTCTTGGGGCACTTAGGGCTTATGAGTTTTCGTTGAATTGTCAGAGCAAGCCTGTACATTCATCTCAGACCCAAAAAATATGCAGTTCCTAATGTGAACTCCCATTGCACCATTTTACCTTTCTCCTTCTCTCTAAATCTCTCTCTATGTAGGTATATATGGAATCAATGCTCTTTTTCTATGTGATTCTTTTTTAGTTTTCGTTCCTCGCAAGTCCCTGATGTTCCTTAGAGTCACCATAAATTTTAAACTTTCGAGTGACTTCTCTTCTCTCCTTCTCCCTCTCCTCTTGCTCCTTATTCATTCTCCTAATCCTTCTCTTTCTCCTCTCTCCTTCTTCGGGTCACTTTTCCTGCTCCTTTTCCCTATCTTCTTCTCTCCTACTCCTTCTCCTCTTTCTTTTACTTCTGCTTTTTGTTTTCTTCTTGACTTTTCTCCTCCTCTTTCCCCTCCTCTTTCTCCTCGTTTTTTCTCCTTATCCGTTCCTTCTCTTTTTTCTTCCTTCTTCTTTTCCTTGTCCATCTACTTCTCCTCTTTCTCCAGCTCATTCTCCTTCTCTTTCTACTAAAGCAAAGGAATGATAAATTGAAAATCTCAGATGAAAACTTTGATGTTATATTGGTGAAACTTATAATGATATCTCATGAATTTCAATTGATATCAAGGTAGTTTGTTACTTGTCTGTTTTATGCTATACGTTAATAAAAAATTTTAGTGGCTTCACACCCCAATCAGAGGAAATAGACATTGTATTTGCCGGCAATTGATATCGGTAACCTTTTTTTTCAAATTGCCGGCATTAAAACTAAAAGTAAGTATTACAGCTTTTATTGTCAAATGAAATATGATTTATTTATGAAGGTTTTTAACTGGTTCATTTTGCGATCTTGTAAATAAAACGTGGTCAATCGTATAGGGAGGTTGAGTTTGCCAAGTCCATAAAGATTCAAGCTAGTTATAGGCTTCCAGATTTACCACCCTAGTATCATCATATCTGATCCCAATGTCCTAGCTTCGTGTTATGTTGGGTCAGGTTTGGACGCAGTGTTAAGACTTACACCCAAAGGGAGAAGGGACGTTGTCCGAGGACTGGCTTTCCATGATTACATAATTTCTCCCGTTTGTCAAAAATTTTCAGTCGCCTGATTATTATACGAACAAAAAATTCGCACAATCACTGAAATTTATTGAGGTGTGTCCCTAGTTTTGGAATATCATCCAGTCCATGAGCTACAAAACCAACATGAGATTAGAGGGACCCTCCGATACCTAAGTCAGTATTGCGATGAATAACCGAATAGACAAGTGTATAAAACTAGGAAAATGGTAAGAATGTGTGTGTGAGGTATGGAGTTGAGAGTTCTCATACCAAGGCCTCCCAAACTTTGGGTCTTCAACCATTTTTATGGAGAAAATGGAGAGCTACTTACCGTTGAAAGGCCATGCTAGGATACATTGACCACTAAACGGTGGTCCCTAGGTGAGATCGACCACCACGTCTAGTATGCAAAATCCTGGGGGCTTGCTTCGGTTAGCCTGGGTCGACATAACAGTAGTATATGATTGTGCCGATCTTCATCTTGATGGTGCTGACCAGTTCGAACTGATGCCGAGCATGTTTATTTGGTGATTGCTAGGAAGATGCCGCATTTCAAAATACTTCCCGAAGGATAGTGTCCGAGTGAATATAAAATGATCTAAGTGATTGGTGTGGATTTTCACTATTTGAGTCGTATAGATGCCGAAGTGGAATTCCACGTCTCAACAGAATGGCCTTTGATGGTGCTTGTCATTGAAGGGTTCTTGGGGGGTCTGGGGATTGCTACAAGTGGAGCCAATCTTTGGTGATAAACCGATCACCCATTGGCCTTTGACAGATGGATTGAGCACCTTGGGATTGATAGGCCTACAAATCTTGGTGAGAGTCTTACCATCTTAGTGCCGAGCATATGGCACCAGAGTGCTAGACCGAGAATGTAATATCCCCGTTCCAATTTGGTAAGGAACTAGTTAGAAATATTATCTTGTAAGGAATAAGAAAAATTTTAAAGAAGAATTTGGAATAGTCTAGAATAATCTAAAATATTGGAGAAGTTTCTAGAAAAATCTAGAATAGTCTAGAAGATTTTAGAAAGTTCAAGAATAACGTAGAATAATCTAAAACAATCTAGAGAAGTCTAGAATATTTTAGAAGGTTTTAGATGGATTTAGAATGTTCCAGAAGGACTTAGAAGGTTGAAGAAGACTTTAGAATATTATAGATGAATCTAGATACTTGTGGAAAGTGGAATTGTCATGTGCAAAATAAGCTTAAAACCTAAAAGGATGTAGGAGATGGTAGAATATTCTAGAGAATCTCCCTTACGAATGTCACATGTCAATATTCTCTAGAATAATCCTAAGATGTCTATAAATAGAGCATTTGGGAATTGGATTAAGATACAAGTGCACAAGTAGTCTTATACTTTTAAGAAAGAATAGAGAGTAAAAGAGAGAAGAAGGAAGGAAGAGCACTTTATCAAAGAAAATTGTGAGAAAAAGGGAAAAGGCATTAATAACATCTCACTCTACTTCGGGTAACAAGCAACACTCAAGAAGCATATCATCTGGACTTGAGGTGAGTGGATTGGCATACTACGTATTTTTTTCCGTATCCCTAAACATTTTAAAAATAATATATAATGCTTGTTCATTACTACCTTTATAAAATGTTTTACTAAGTGCCTAAATACTTGTGGCATGCAATTCTCCTTACTTTGATGAATTCTTTTGTGAAGTATTGTGACTCAATCGCTTGTTTATATGGTGAGACTTTGTGATAGTGAATGAGACCATGATTGAAAGTCTTATTCCTCTGTGTGCGGGTGACTCTGGCCACTAGGGAACAGACCCGGGGAGGCTGAGGTGACTCTAGTGCTCAATAGTTGAAGGAACAGTGCCTGGTGCGTCCTGGTGACCTTCACCGGATCGTCTTAGGGAACAGTTCCCGGACGACAACCCGTGGTGACCCTAAGTACGATGTTGGATCCAACCCTGAGATATATTCTGGCATTTGGTACTAAAAGTCCAGAAAAATTATTTCTCTGTGTGCGGGTGACCCTGGCCACTAGGGAATAGACCCGGGGGAGGCTGAGGTGACCCTAGTGCTCAACGGTTGAAGGAACAGTTTCTGGTGCGTCCTGGTGACCTTTACCGGATTGTCTTAGGGAACAGTTCCGGGGTGGCAACCCGTGGTGACCCTAAGTACGGTGTTGGATCCAACCTTGAGATCTTCTGGCATTTGGTATGGTTCTCAGATATCGTACAAGTCCTTACCAGTATGAGATGATGATATAATTTGTTACTGTTACAATGTTTTTACTAGCTTTGTTTATGATTATCTATCGTATGCCATACGTATTTTCTTATTATCAGTTATTGTTTTTGGTATTTGGTTCCTATCGATTATTGGATATCGTACAGTCTCTACCATTATGATATGATTCACCATTGTGGTATGATTTCTTGTTGGAATCCGATTGTGTTATTCTTGAGAAATTGATTATCTTGATGAAGTTATTTTTCCAAACCTTTGATTTACATGTCGTATGTTAAATATGTTTTTCAGCCACTTTGAATATGCATGTCTTTCCATTCACTGGGCTTTTTAGCTCATGTTTTCAAAATAATATTTTTTTAGGTAAACGATTGGAGTGTCAATAGCGGACTCAGGGAATTGATTGGGGACTAATAGTGTTGTGACCTTCGTAGCATATATTGTATAGCCCTCTTTACTTGTATTTGGATAATTGGGGTAAACAAGTTTAGGTATGTTGACTTTAACATATTGACATGAGATCAATTTAGTGTTAATGTTATTTTCCACTACTATATTATTAGTTTATTGTTAGGCTTACGTGTTCCATAGGTTATGGATCTATGGTTCACGGCTGGTCATGCCCTTGGAGTTGGGGTGTGACAGAGAAAGCAGTTAGTCGGCAGCAGTGAGAAACTTGATTTGTTTTAAGCAAGGATATGGTGATAGTTTTCTTTGCCCAAAAAGATCATCATAGAACTTTGTTTTGGGGATGAGAAGTGGTGGTGACAGCCACTTCCTTGATAATATGCAATTCACTATTGTACAATGGAGAGCTTAATACTGAGGTGCATTGTGGATTCTTGAGCAAAAACTAGACCCTTCATGAGTTTAACTGGTCACGACCAGCAGTTGACATGTGAGAGTATGACCGTTGTGTAGATTTTCTGTCAAGGGGGTATGGAGGCGACAATGACAGCCACTTCTTCGATAATGCCAATCACGTAGGGATTTACCCACCCTCGTAAGAATTGAGTGTACCTTGCAGTTGCGGCAGCCGATTGAGGCATTCAACAATGGGCACTGTTGGTGCTTGATAGGATACCCACATGAATAGTCGCTTGAGAGAGGCTGAGCCGTGGGCCAACCAACCACTGTGGTGATGATTCAATGACCATCCTCTAGGTGATGTAATAGCCTTTTCTTGGTGAGAGCGCGAAGACATTTGCAAGCTTTTGGATGATGAGGACACCAAATGCCACCCCATGATCTACTTGTTTTTGGCGACCACCTTTAGGTTGCACCGACTGCGGAGAGGCAAAAACCAGTCGAGTTCAACAATTTAAAAAGTAAGTTCTGGAATACTGAAAAAACAAAGACAGATGCATGCTTCCAATAGGATAACTTTGTCTCCTGTTAAGCATAACATGTGATATTGACCATCTTTAAGTATCGTAGTGCTTGTGTTTACATGCATCAGTACACATGGTGTAGCTGTTCTCAAGAGCAAACCATGGTAGCCATACTAGCCTTTGTCTACAGTGAAAGTTGTCTTAACAATTGAATGATGTATGGCTATGGGAAAGGAGAAATTGGGCAGCTCTTTATCGAAGGATTTGGATCTTCAATGTTGTTTGGCACCATTGTTGGATAGATGACAAATGGTGAGATTTTCTTTTCTGATTTAGGTACCCACGTTGTTTTGTGACGAAATAGCTTATTCACATGTTTTTCTGATGGTTCATAACTTAAATTCAGGGGTCGGAAACGAGCATGCGTGACTTATTGCATTACTTACATATTAACCTGTATTACCAAGCATTCTCATCAGTACAAAGTTTTGATGTTGGGTCGTATTTTGGGTGGTATTGCCACTTCTCTCCTATTTTCAGCTTTTGAATCATGGCTTGTGGCTGAACACAACAAGGTAAAAGGCTCTTACTTGTATTAGTGACTGGTGACAGAGGAATCCATATTGAATTGATTACAGTTCATATTTGAATTTTGATGAACAGTATTATTGATCCTGATGCGTAACTGTGGTATTTTGTGTGAGCATGATTGCATCTGAGAATTGGATTCCCTATGTGTGAACATAATCTGTAGTTTTTTTGCACAATGGGGGACCTTTCTTTCTAAAAGCCTATTTCTTGTTGGAGCCTTTTCTAGAACTTTGATGACGGATGGCATTGGTAAGCAATTATTTCATCATCATAATGCTTCCAGAGTTTTGCTTAAATTTCTTGTATCTTGCAAACTCTTTAGATTAATCTTGTTGTCCTGATGTCTGCTGATTCATTGGGCTCTCTTTCTTGTAACCAGATTATAGTAGTCCCATAAATTCTTCCAAGAAATAAGAAAAGAAAACTACTTAGTGAAACTGGATCTATATCCATAATTTTGACTCTAATAATTTTCAATTGCGCCCTAGTTGCCAGAAACACTGGCTACAGAAATACAGAACTGGAATTGTTTGATCGTTCTGCCCTTGTTTATTTTGCTCCTATTTTGGATAGGATGCTCAAAAGATTGTGTCTAGGGATCCCCACTTGTCATCAAACTTTTCCCTTTCGTCATATTGTCATTTTGTTTTTCTTGTTCTTTTCTGCTGCCTTCCTTTGATACTTTCTGACCTGGCGATGAAGGACTTGAACCGTCAAGCTGTGGTTCTTTCTTTGTCATCCGTTTTTGGATGTGTAAGTGTAAGCCAACTCTAGGCAACAACTAGTTTGTAGTTTGTCCATAGAAGTTACCTCATTTTCATTGTCATTGACCCTGTTTTCTGCCTATTTCTGCAGAGAGGATTTGATCAACAATGGCTCTCAATAACTTTCTCCCAATATTTCTCAGCAATGGTCTCGTTGCTATTGTGCCCGGGTTGTTCGGAAATCTGCTAGTTGATACCATGAGTCTTGGGCCTGTGTCCCCCTTTGACGCCACTGCATGCTTTCTTGCCATTGGCATGGCAGTTATACCATCATCGTGGGGTGAGAACTATGGTGACCCTTCAGAGAACAAGGACTTGCTTACCCAGTTCAACGGTGCTGCTGTGGCCATTGCTTCAGGTAGAGACCTATTTAAGATCTCAAATACTTTCACAGCCCATAAAATACTCCTGGAGTAGCCCTTGGGTATAAAAGCAGTGATTCAGGACTTACCATTCAATGATTCTTCCCAGTGATTGGCTTCAGTTTTAATTTTGAAAGACAGAAATAAAGAACAGGCTACCTATATCTTATATCACCACTCCAGGATGCGACGTTCTTCTTGGGTTTTCACTGGTGTTCTTTTTAAATGGTGGTCAGATTTTTTTGTGCCTAAATGGTTTTTGGCTGCTTTCTCATTGTCAATCTATATATTTTGCTAAGTGTCCATTTTTTTATTCCTGTTCGTATTCCTTGTTGACCCTGTAGTATGGTTTATGTAGATCAGATGAGAAGATTGCATTGTTTGGTGCAATACAATCCCTCTTTGAAGGGTCAATGTACACCTTTGTGTTCCTCTGGACACCTGCTTTGAGCCCAAATGAGGAGGACATTCCCCACGGTTTTATATTTGCAACTTTTATGCTGGCTTCAATCCTGGGAAGCACTATTGCGTCTCGCTTGATGGCCCGCACATCATTAAGAGTTGAGAGCTATATGCAGATTGTTTTTGTGGTTTCTGCTGCCTCTCTTCGGCTTCCTATTGTGACTACTGTATGTAGTGGGTTGCATGTTTCCTTTTTTTCTTTCTCTTAAATTCTCTGGTTATGGCCATCTCTAATTTGCTTATTTGGAACAGTTTTTGGTAGCTCCTTCTAAGGTGGAAGGTGGAAGCATCTCATTTGCAGGTTGTATCCAGCTTATTGGCTTCTGTACCTTTGAGGCTTGTGTGGGTATATTCTGGCCTTCCATTGTGAAGATGAGGTCGCAATACATTCCTGAGGAGGCGAGGAGCACCATTATGAACTTTTTCCGCATTCCTCTCAACATCTTTGTTTGCATCGTTCTTTACAATGTATGTCTTTGGACTTTCTATCCTTTGTTGCTCCACCTTGAGACTGCACTCTGCTCATAGAAATAGAATTGTGCTGTAAATTTTGCTTTCTTTGGCTGGAACATAGTTACTGTGGCAAAAAATTTTTTGGCCTATATTAGAGAATATTGACCCTCCTCTTTCTCTATACTGCACACAATGCCTTCTTTTGCTTTTACTTTTTATCATGCACCATCAGGTCCTTTTTATGTTACTAATTTTCTGTATGTATATGAAGGTTAATGCGTTCCCTATCACTGTAATGTTCGGGATGTGCTCGATTTTCCTCTTTGTTGCATCTATCTTGCAGAGGCGGCTATTGATGATAGCAGAGAAGTCAAGTTAGTAGTTCTGCACTAGAACTCTTGAGTTTTCAAATCATGATTCATTATTGTACTATTTTTGTTTCAGGCTTATGTAGTACCAATTTTGAAGCAGAAATAAAATGACTAGTAATTATAGTGTATTATTAGTCCATGCATGAAGCTTTTCTAGGTGCTTACTGTTGCAACATGTGTTTTCACTACAGAGACAGAAGATTGGACAGCATTAAAGGAAAAGGACAACGAGGCTGAGCCGTTGAACGATGCTTGATTCCAAAATTGAAAAACACCGCCTAATTCATTCCACAAACTGTCACAGGATTTGGTTTACTTGATGCTACGTTCTATTCAAATGGTGATGGTCACATTTTATTTAAACTACAATTAGTGGTCTGCAGGCAAAGAAAGGAAAAGAGAGGTACGGGACCGTGCCTTAAAGCGAACTGAGTCACATTAGCCTCAGTTTGGCGTCTGCATCTCTTACTGTTGGGATATTCTATATTTTGTTATGTATAATTCAAATTATTTCTTGTTCTAATATAGTTCTCATGTTTAAGCATCTATTAAGATGCCAGTTTTGCTCATGACAGTTTGAAACGGTGTAAATGATCCTTTATAACACCATATTGTAATTTTTAAAACACCATTATTATAAATGTTTAAGCATTTATAATAATGAAAACTTTGTATGTTGGATACGACCTCTCTAAATAATATATTTCAAGTTGATTTTGTTACAAAGTAGATAAATGAATTTCAAAAAAAAAAATAACAAGAACAATAACAGGCTTCAACCCGAATAAATATCACAGCACTAGCCATATATATACCACATTACAGCTTACATATTGACAAAGAATCAGATTACACTCTCAGCATCTCACTGAGAACAATTTACAACACCCGGCTTCGCTTGGCGCATACCGAAGCAGCTTCCAAGTCCCCAATGAAGAAAAGGATTCGGTCCAGAATCCCCATGCAAGGTTCCTCTTCTTCCAAAGGTCCTGCAAGGCCTTTTCCCGAGCTAACTAAACTGCTACTATTTCCTCTCTCTAGCTGTCTTCTTGAACCCAAATATCGTTGAATTTCACCTTGATGGACAAGGTAGTACTCATTTCCTTCCCTTACTATCTTCAGCCCCCTGGAGTCACAAGGCTAGTTCTTTTTATTGAACAAATGATTTCTATTGAGAACACAATTTCAAAGTGACAAAAAAAAAAACTTCTCCTCCTCCTACTAAGCATGGTTTGAGCCCTAGCAGGGGCCATGGGGTAGGTCGGGTTAGTGGGAGGGAAAAGGTTTATTCCCAATTGTCTTCTCTGTTTCACTGGACCATAAAAAGATGCAAAACTTGGAAATGAAAAATAGCTGCAAATAGATTCACTTACAATCCAATTCGATCACAACGATCTTGTACTGCATACACTTCTTTCCATGACTTCGAATCTATGGGGACATAAAATGTGGCACAATGTATGCCCCATCTTTCTTCAAATAAGTTAAACCATAAATTGTTGTCTGAGGCCAAGATTTTCCACTTCCTGCACACTTTGACAAACACCACAACTGACATGTTCATCATCAAGGCAATAATGCACAAAGGTAAGCAAAAGGGGAAAGATGTGGATCCATTAAGTTAAAGAGTATAATTTAAACCAACACATGCTTTTGGATAATAACATTATAAGAGAAACTAGGGGAAAGAGCCGAAACAAATGTGCAATCAGATTTAGATTCAAAAGTTTGAAGGTCAAAATAGTTGGAGAAATGACATTGATACATTTCGAAATAACAGTATGAACCTATTTTTTCATAATTGGCCAAAACAAGATATATTGAGGGAAAACCTTAGATAATTATCTGATGCTTGTGCTCTACTAGGGAGTTAACTATCAAAGAAGAAACCAACCCCTCTTGAAGAAAGCTAATGAGATTTCAAAAAGATTTCAGATTTGATCTACTTGGACAAGTGCTAGCCTAGGGTTTCCAACACACACACGACCTTGAAAAACGCAAGCAAATGAACAAAAATATGGACAACTGAATACAACTAGTACATGAACTAACTAAAATAATGACAGTGCTCTATACAAAACCTAAAAACACTACCTTTGCTTACAAACTGATGTGGCGATATGACCATTGCCACACAAAAGCTAATATTAACTTTTATTCTCATGTCGTCAAACTTCAGCCCCTTCCTCTTTCTTCCATACTCCCTTCTCCAATCATACACCAGCATGGTCACTCATTCCATATCCACCATTAAAACGCAATCAATACACAAACAACGAATTTTGTCAAAAGAGTTCGTTTACCAAAGGCCTTACATAACATGGTTTAGTAGAATGTTGACACTGTTGTAATGAAGATACAAGCAATATTCATCTCAATTTCTCATTGGAACAAAACAAATGACCAGCATTAATGAGAAATCTTGGTTTAAAAACAGGCAGAATCTAAGACCAACAGATTAAAACAGTTTGGGTTGTGCCACATAACAGCTCAATCTTTTTAAAATCTAGCAAAATTTATGGACGCCTCGTCGTAACAAATTCAGAAAGAAGGTCAATAAACTCACCCAATCCTGATCTCCAAATATTTTTCTTGAAGATAATGGAGAAAAGACGTGATATCAACCAGTTTTACAACTCGGCCAAATTCATATAATTGTGCTGATAACAATTTGGGCCACAACACATTGATCTAGCATCTCAAGCTCTTACCTTTTTTAAACCCAAATTTAAATTTGGGTAAAAAAAATCCCCAAAAATTCTCCAATTTTATACTCAAACTCATACAAAATTAAGCGAGAATCAAATATTTACTCAAATTAGGGGAGATTCAAACCTTTACTCAAATCACAAATGGCCAGATTTCATTCTCCTTCCAAGATCCAATGATCATATTTCACCATCATTTAAATTTGAGTTTATCCTCCTTGAAATTTGAATTTGTCCTTTAGACCCCTTTGTACCAAATCAAATATTTTACTCAAATGTTAATTGAGTAAAAATTTAGGTCAATCTTAGAGATGCTATAAGCTACGAGGTTAGATTTGGTTTCGATTTCATGCAGAATTTAATTGTCCTCATTTTTGTGTTAATCCAGAATTGAGATTTTGTCAAGTTTATAAAGGAATCAACAAAAAAAAAACCTCTTACAAAATAATTTACAACACAACACCCCAGACAAAAAGGCAGTTTCACTAATCATGTATAATGATTAGTGAAGGAGAATTCAACAAGCAAAGTTGCATAATTGAAGGAGAATTCAACAAACCTAGTTCGGATCTTATAATGAATTGAATATCTCAGCATACAAAATACAAAATTCTCAAATCTAACATTGAGAATATGTATAATTGGAGGGTGTTCTATGAATAATGATACTACTGACCTTGTTGAACAGCTGCAAGATTCTGGTGATCCAACAAATGGAAAACTTTCAGACAAAGATCCGTTGGTAACTTCTCCATCCTAAATTCTTCACAGACAGATCACACATGAAACATAATTTTGCAGAGAGAGAGAAAGAGTGAGAAGAGATGAACTTTTATGGGACTTTTTGAGTTCTTTTGGCATTTGTAGTTAAAAACCGGTTACTTCCTGGCGATCGCACATGCGCGAGTTCATAACAGCTGCTTATTCTCCGATTTACCGACTTAAGATTTTTATTTGGCTAATCTCAAATTGCACCTCAAAAAATGATTCAAATTTTAATTTATACTTTCAAATTTAAAAATATTAATTTATACCTAAATGTGCACCAGAATTAACTGCCGTTCATTTTGTTGTTAAAAAAGTTTAGGCTAATTGTAAATTGCACCTTCAAACTTAAATAATTTATATTTATGGTCCAAAAGTAATTTCATCTTTTAATAATCATTAAATACCTCTTAATTTTGTTATATTGTATCATTTTTGTGTCGTGTCATTTTGTGTCATATCTTATTATTTTTGTATCGTATTCGAGTTAATAAAACAATATTTTTATCACATTTAAAAATATTTTTTTGCCGAGTCAATTGCATTGTGTCATATTAGTTCACATTTGCAACAATTCATATAATACTATTTAAAAAAAATTAAAATACCTATTTTTTACCTACAATACTCATTAAATAGTTATTTTTTGTTTAATGTTAGACATGACATAACACAATTGAGAGTTCTTTAACGAGCATTAATTAATGTATTTTTTTAAGTCATAAATGTGAAAATATTTAAACTTTGAAGGTATAATTTATAATTAATCCAAATATTTTTAACGGCAAATGGATGACAGTTAGTTCTAGATGCACATTGAAATAAATTTATATCTTTTAGTATATAAATTAATATTTTTAAACTTTGAGGGTGTAAATTAAGATTCGAGCGATCTTTAAAATATAAGTTGAGATTAATTTTTTTTATTTGAAACCTTAAGGTGTCACTGTTTGTTAAATAGAATGATAAAATTATAATAAAATATAGTATTTATGAAATTTAAGATTTTATTAAAATAAATTATTAAAAATAAGACTTCATTAGTATAAAATAAAAATAATAGAACTCAATTGATGTTTGTGAGGAAAAATAATATTTATTAATAATTTTTCTTTCTTTTTTCTTTACATTAAATGTGATTTTTTAAAATAAAAGTTAAACATATTTAATTATGGCCTTTATATTATTTAGTGTGTTCTTGTGATATTGATAAAGATATATTTTTACCTAAATGATTATTAACTTTTAAATAATTTTATTGAGATTTAATGCATCGTGATATTAAACTTAATAGTAAATCTCACTATTTAATAATGTTTGCTATCTATTTAAAAAACCACAAGTCAGTGGTTCCTTATTAATTAAATCCATTCTTAATATTTTTTATGTTTAGTGTAACTTTTAAGTATTACATGTAATTTTAATAAATATGAATTTATAAACTTCTGTAGTCAATTGAGAAAAAAAATTATAACTCAATAATGTGCCCTACAATAATTTATTGATTTCGTCACTAATTAGAGTTAACATATGTTTTAGGACATAGATTTATTATAGAAAGGTGACGAAAATCCTAAAATTTTCGTTGGTTTTTGAATTTTATTTTTGATTTTAATTTGGTCTTTAATTTTTAATTATTATGGTTTAGACTCACAATTATCAATTCCATTTTAATTAAGATTTTTTGTTAATTTTTTATCATTAAATTTACTAGAGACTAACTCAATTTGATTCATTTTAGCATTAATCTAATGGTGGAAATAAACTATTAGTTTTATTGAAATAAAATTAATATATTGGAGACTAAATTGAGATAGTTTAAAATTCGGGGATAAATTTTTTTTGGAAAAATTTTAACCACACCCTCTCTATCTTGTCATATCTTCAAGGACACCCCTTCTAGTTTCTGAATCTTTAATGACTCCCCCTGTCAGATTAAAAATATTAAGTAGAATGCAATTTTACTAAATTATCCATGATATATTTGAGGACAAACTTTATCCACACCCCTCTAGATAAGCATATCTTCAATGAGACCCCCTCTAGATAAGTATATTTTCAATGAGACCCCCTCTGTTTTTTAATTTTTTTTACGTAATTAAATTTGAACCGAATAAAATTCGATTCAAGCTAATTAAAATTTATTTTTTTACATATTAAAATTTGTGCCAATTAAAAATTATATTTTTTTTACGTATTAAAATTTGGGCTATTTAAAATTTTGTTTGAGCTAATTAAAAATTATTTTTAATCTACTCAAATCAAATTTTAATCAATTTGCATTGAATTTTAATTGAATTAAATTTTAATAAATCAAATTTTAATTGACACTAATTTTAATAAGTAAAAAAATATAAATTTTAATCGACTCGAAAGAAAATATTAATCGACGCTAACAATTCGGATAGAGTTCAAATAGGCTCAAATTTTAATAAATAAAAAATAAATTTTAATAGGCTCGATTTTTTTAAAAATTTACGAATTAGTAAATAACAAATTAGTATTTACTAACAAATTATTTACTAAAATTGTTATTTACAATTTTTTTTAAAAATTTTAACAGTTCGAATTTTAATAAAATTTTATGTAGAAAAATTACTTGAGGTTATGTAGGGGCATATTTGGTATTTTAGATGAATTTGTTTTGTTAGAAATGATAGTTTAATAGTAGGGGTGTTAGTGATGTTTAAATTAAACTAGAAGGGATGTCATTGAAGATTCAGAAACTAGAGGGGGCGTCCTTGAAGATATAATAAATTAGAGGGGGTATGGTTGAAATTTTCCCATTTTTATTTGTTCCCTTCTGACCGTTACTTGTCGCCCTCCTCTCTCGCGCCCCCGCGCCCCCATATAGCTTATATTTCCTAAACGGACTCTTCACACGCTCCATCTCTCTCTTCCCAAAAATCAAAAATCCCATTGCCACCGCCAATCCAAAAATCCCAACCCACCGCATCAAATCTCAACTGAATAGCAATAGGGAGACATAAGAAAGCAAAAAGAAGAAGAGGGGACCCATCCTCACGAGCAGCAGAATCAGAATCAGTGGGTTTGAGTATGGCAGTGGCTTGAAGTCAGAGAGAAATCGCATTGATGGAGGTAATTTGCTCAAACTCTTTTGATTAAGTTTTATTTTAGGGTCAGAGTAATATCCTTAATTACTTGGGTTTTTCTGAAAGTGGAGGGTATGAGTTTTACTTATTCAAATTGTGGGTCTATGCTTTGGTTTGGGTTTGGGTTTGGGTCTTAGGTCATATTAATTTGATTGATTCTTCCCTATATGACAACTTATTTGTTTTATGGTTGTTTTATTTTCTTTAGTAGTTGCCAGTTGCCACATATATTTGGAACTTTTTGAACCTTTAATCACTCAATACAGTACACAATTTGGGGTCAATAAATTAGTTTATTCTACAATTTGCTTTTTGTTAGGAATTAAATTGTATAATAAATTTCATCATGGCCCTTTTATTTTTAAATATTGTGGTTGCAGGACTCTTTTAAACAATTTCAATTTTAAGAGACTTAAGAAATGGTTGAAATAGTGGTCGCCATGGAGGTGAAGATGGCCTTCTCCTCTCACTGTCAACAGTCAGCTTTCAATGTGAACACGCCAAGGTTGTCAAGCAATGACATACAAAAGATGCCCGTTGATGGTCATACGACGACGACATACTGAAAAAACATGTTCTGATGGTACGCCTTACTCTTATAGTTGGAATTGGTGGTATTTAGTTTCTTGGTTTTGTTTTTG